GAAGCAATGTTTAAAATACATTTTACAGTTACTGAGGTTAATAAAAGCAAATACGTGATTTTAAAGTATGCTCAAATGATTGGTTCCATGTGGAATTTCATTTCGGTGCTGAATGTATGAGCCTTTGTTTTCCTGTTCTGTCATATAAAAAGTTACACATTGGCCAGACAGGCTGTTGACATCTGGTCTCAGAAAATGCATTAGATGCTGTCATAGATCTAAAAACCAAAGTTGTGGAAAGGAAGCTGTTTGCTTAAGGTTTTCTTTCTGTGTGTGATAATTGCACTTAGAAGTGAGCTGTTACGGCCCAACCTGGTAGATTTTTATGAAGTGAAATGTAAGAAAATAAGAAATATTAATTAGTAATCTTTTTAGAAGGAGTTGTCTCTATCTTTGAGTGCACATATTTGCAGATGTTTTTGTTTGTCATGGAAGTCAGGCAAAACAAAGAACAAAACCTTCAATTCTGAATATTTTCAAGTAGCATAATGATTTGGGGAAAACAAGCTTAATTTTCAGATGGATTTTTACAGGAGACATGGATTCATTTTTTTAATCTTTGTAACTTCCATGCACTTACATAGTCCATGCTGCCCTTGCTAAAGAGAAATTAATGCTGACTTTCATTTTATCAAGATTTTACCAGTTTGTAGTACTGTGTTGTAACAGTGTAGTTTCTGAGAGGATAGTGTTTTCAAAGGTAATTGGATTAAAATCCAATCCACCAGCATTTGAGTTGTGAACATGCACAAGTGAGTTCTGTGTAGGAAGACTGTCATTAGTTTTTGTATTTCTACATGAATTCCTTTTTGTGCAGAGATGTAAGAGTTTTAATTTCAATGTGTTCTGCATGTTTTGTATCAGAAAGGATCATTCGGTACATCTCCCTGTGCAACACAGATCATGAACTTTCCTTAGCTGTGATCAGGCTTGAAGAACTGCCATTTCTTCCTGAAAAGCCATGTTCTGTGTATTGCTCTTCACCTCTGAGCTGGTCAGAGCCTCTCAATGGCTGTAACAGCTGCTTTCCACCGTGAAGCTGAAAGGGTTTTGGTGGTGGATGAAGTGTTTCTTTGTAAACAGTTTGTCAGCAGTCTTGGAAATTCATGAACAGAACAGTTATTTGCAGCATGATTGTGATGTTACCAAGTTTGAGGCCAAAAGTATGATGTGTTCTAACTTAATCATTTTGTTTTAAAAAGGCTACTTTTGTCTCTGCACTCAGTAGAAATCTCTCCCACTGCCCTGGCCATCTCTGCGTATACCAGAGAGGAGCCTGCACAACGCAGGGAAGCAGCAGGCAGCATGGGCTGGTCAGGCCTAGTGGCAGGGTTGGTCTGGCACGTGTTGCAGCACCTGAAGACTTTGTGCCTGCCTTCCTGTGCCCCATGGCACCAGTGAAAGCCTGCACGTGCTGTATTTCTTGCCCAGAGGAAGAAAAGTAGCACAGCATATTAAAGTGTATGTGGAAATATACCAACTCTGAGTCACTGAAATAAGAGCCAAAGTGCCTGTAATTCTTTTTCAAACCACACTGAGGACAGTTCAGAAGGATATAAGTTAAGTTACGTGGGTGGCTGTATCCACTGCAAGTAGAGTCTTTCCAAACTTTTTTGAGAATTGCTTCTGTAGTTAATGTGGCTGGGTTAGTAATAAAATGTAAATCGAATAAGTGGATGATCAGCAGTAGTTGGGTTCCAGTTTTGGCGCCATTGGCATTTGCAGCGATCCTGATTTGGCCTGTGTGCACCTGCAGAGCCTTGGTCTCTGCCTCTCTGTGGTGCAGCACCTCGTGTCATACTCTGCTCCTTCACATGTATGTGGGCCCTGCCCCCGGCTTCCAGATCTTAGAATGCTGCTGTTAAAGTGAACTGAAAAGTAGTTCAAGGTGAGAGTACTGTGAGAACTTGTTTTTTAGTGAGGAAGGCTGTGTAATGTCAGAGTTGGAGGAGCAGCTGAAGAGGATATCCAGATTCAGGTTCCCAGTTTCGGCTTCATTCACGAGAAGAAAGTTGCTTCATCCTGATGCCTGAGGAAGCTTAATCTTCCCAGAGTTTTCTCTGGCAAGAGACTTGGGCAGAAAATAGTTTCTGCTCAGGGTGATCGTGGGTCTAAAACCTGGTCCTTGCTTCTGAATAACAATCAGAAAAGGGGATTTAAAAGTTTCCTACTCAGTTACAGTTATACAAGGCTGTGACAGCCTAATCCTTTAAATTCTGGCATGGTAATTAACATGAAAGGCTTTCTTACCAAGGTCTACTCAAGTGCCTTATTCGACGATTACCTCTAGAACCTGTGTCGTCTGAATTTGGCAGCAGATTTTACTTGTCCTGTGGAGATCTTCTGGGGCTTTTTCTGCTTTTTTGCTTATTTCTAGTACTTTCTCTGTGACGTTTCCAGGGGCAAAAGTACTTCTGCAGTGTCTACATTACAGTGATTTTAAAATAATACCTCTTGGAGAAAAAATATTTCATACCAACATGATATAATGTCACATTCAGTGTTTTAAGATGACTGTTATGTTCTTGCTATCAAGAGGAACAATGAAGAGTGACCTCTAAATATTTCAGATTAGCTATAAAAATAAATATTTTTTTTGTCTCCATGTTTTTTTAATGACAAGAAAACTGTATTCTGCTGTTCTTGAGATTTTGTAACTTCACAATATGAACTAGTTCACTGAAAGTCTGAAGCAAGAATTTTGCATGTCCTAAAGCCAGGCACATGTTTCCTCAAAGACTAAAAATTGCTGAAAGGTGGTCAAATCAGTCACTCAAATGCTTGCATTCTTCTCTGGCAGTTTTTTATGTCCGCTTCTCTCTCATTTGTTGTCTTGAAACGATACTTGAAGAAGAAGAAAACATATAATTGCGCTGTAATTTCTGTACTAAAATGTTTTCTTTTGAAGTAGCTCCGTTTAGTTAGTAAAAATACTTCTGGGTTTTAGTCAAGCATTTAGTACAATTTAAAACTGCAATGCTAAATTTCATTGGTTGGACTTTTTATTAGATAAGGTAGAAATGAAAGCAGCAGGCAATTTAATTAGCAGTAATTTTTCTGGGCAAGTCATTACTTTGATGAACTTCAGAGCAATGTTTATGGCTCCTAATTAACCATGTTAGTCATTTGATTGAATAATCACTTTGGAAATGTTTCTACAATTTGATTAGAGTCTGACCCACTCTGATAGTCATAAATTAACTGATAGCACTTTAGGATAACAAGACTCTAGCTACTTTACGAGAAATAAACTTGCCTGCTGTATTTTTCGGTCCTCTGTGGACTGTTTAAGTGCAAGCTAACCAAAAGATTAAGTAATGTTGGTAGAAACAATGCTTGTCTTAAAAAGACTCCAGATGTTAATTATAATTGACTTTAGGAGCATAAGAGATGAAACCCCAAGCTGGCTAAAAATGTAGCTTATTAAATGCATACATAATTCTTTGTTCTGTGTACTCTGCTGTATCACTTTGCAAAAGTGGAGTTCATGAGTCAAAAAGGGTTTTGCTGCCAATAGTAGGGAATTTTTACCTAAAATAGAAAATAGCATCTGTTTCAGTTCTTCAGCTTCCTCTTTTTTACGTAGATTTTTCCATTCTCCTTAAAACTCAGTCTGCTTGTTAAGATGAGTGATTCTCTGCAGGTGAACCACTACTTGTAGCCTTGACTTCTAGTCTACAGAGCTATACTTGACTTCTGTGATCACTGAGTTGTTGAAACATGTGGCTGCTCAGAATAGCTGTCTGAGATATTAGAAAGCAGGCAGGCACTGAGCATTTCATTGAGAGGAGGTAATGAAGAGTTTGGCACAGATGTTCAGGAGAAGCCAGGGACTGTTGGAGGGAACTTATTGCTGTCCCATGTTTCGCTTGTTTTGTGAAGCCATTGTAAAACCTTATTTTCTTATCCTGCCATATCTTTGATACTCATCACTAGTCAGTGAACAGTGAAGTTTGGAATAACATTCTGAAAGAGTTTTTAGGCAGTGTTGGAAAAATGATGTCTGCTCTTTCAACCACTGTTTACATCTCTTAGAGTTAAAAGTTACTGGTAATAGATTGCGTACATTAGGGTAGAAATTTATCATGAGATCTAATAGACTGAGTTAAGCAAGACTTTTGATATCCAAGTGAGTTAAATGTGATCTAGAAGGGCAAACATGTATGGTTTATTTATCTTTGCAAGTCCCTGTGCACAGATTGTTTTTTCCCTGTGTCTTGCACTGTCCCTAACAGCAAAAAAGACATATAAAGAATATAATTTTTATTAATTTCTATTTTTTTTTTTTGTCATTCTTTCTGCATATTTGAGTAGAAGTGTGGAATGGAAAATAGATTTTTGCATTACTTAGAATGTGTACACTATATTATTTTAGGAGGTTTCTTTTTTTTGTTAAGAGTGCACATGCACAGGTGGAGGATCAAACTGGCATAGCTGAATTCCTGTTTAAATGTTTAGCAATTCCAGAAAATTTCTTCAACTTTCCAAATCCTAAACCAGAGTCTAAAAACCAATAGCCTACTGCAGATTCACGTTGACATTACTTTTATTCATGATACTGTATTTGTAGAGTTTTTAAATGTCTAATGTGATTGGTAGGGCAGATTTATCTGTGTAATTGATTAAAAATGTTGTGTTGAATTAGTTACAAAGATGGATATACAAGAACAGGGCTTAAAGTACTGCCTTGTGTGGATTTTTTGGTCTGTTTATCTCAAATGTATGTGTCACAGGGCTCAGCTTGTAGCTAAGTTGATTGCAGTAAGCGTTTGTGTTCAACTGCCTGTGTTGAATGCGATCTATGATCTTCACTTTAGGATTTTCTCTTTCACCATGCCTTGTGCATTCTGCTCTGAAACACTGACTGGGTTGTAAGGTTCTATCTCATTGTAACATGCATCCTCCCTGTTGCTCTTTTACCTTCAGTCTGTCTCATTGATAATTTGCACTCTTTAAAAATTCTAGACAGTCTTTTGACTAGCATTGTCTTCTCCTTTCAGAAGTGCCTAGCTGCCATTCCATTTACATGAGGCAAGAAGGCTTCCTGGCTCACCCAAACAGAACAGAAGTTAAGTTTTATATTATGTATTGCTTAAGTACTGCATGAGAGAAATGGGGAAAAAAAAAACCACAACCTGAAGGAATTTGAGGTTCATTGGTTTAATCCTGCTGATGAGAAGACTCCATTGTCTTTCACTTCCCAGTTTTGAATTTCTGCTGTGCTGAAGTTTTGTAGATTCTAGTACCACAAGTTGACTAGAATAGAACCAACTTTATTGTGAATTTACTCATTCTCCTTTTCAAGGATGACAGCTGTTGAAAGGAAGAGACAGTTAAAAATTTGTCCGTACAACCCATTCTGCTCAAATGATATTTTACAGACTTTTGGTGTGACAGACTCAGTTAACTGTTAAGTAATCCATTTTGTACTTAAAAAGATTCAGTGCATGTTTGTTTGTTGGTTTTTTCCCTCATTTGTTAGGATTTTTTAAATTCAATGTTCTGGTTCTTCTTGATAGCCAAATTGTAAAGCCATTTTGTATATACCAGAGCTCTTACCGACTTCAGTAAGGAAGAGCCTAAATCATTGTCAAAATTAATAATTCAGAGTAATAGCATTTTATACATATTAAGAAGACCAGCAGAGCTAAGCAAAAATGACCACTGAGAAAGAGTGGTCCACTTATGACGTCCACTCTCCTGCTTTGATGTATCTTTTTTGTCAGTATATAATTTTTGTTTTGTTTAGAATTTGTTTGTTTTTCCTCCAAGGAACTAATTTCACAAACCCAAAGAAAATTAAAAGAAATTGATGGCAATTCAAACAGATGTATGAATGAGTGTCCTCTAGTAAGACTTCATTTATTAGTGAAAAGCCACAGATGGAAAGGTAACAAAAGTTGCTAAAATCCACCTGTTTTTGGTGAGGCAAAAAATAAAAAAAAAAAGGTGGTGTGTAACAAGGAAGGTGAAATAGGAGCTGGAAATTTGTAAGTGTTGGTATATGAAAATATAAGAAGTGTATAAGCTTACTAAGGGAGGTAAAAGACATTAGGGAAGAGTCCACAAAAGCAAAAAAGGGTCAACAGGCCTGAGTTTTAATCATGGTATAGACTGTGGAAAAACAGCCATGTTATGCACTCGTAAGTACTTGGAAGTGGTAAAGTTGTTATGAATGACGCAGAAAAAACAGATTGTAAATATTTGTTCTCAGTGTTTAGAAATCAGTCAACATGATTTTATGACATAAAGGTCATGTCAAAGAAATCTGATTTCATTCTTTGTTGAGATTAAAAGTTTGATTGGTAAAGATACATGTCTCTCGTATTGTATAGTTGGCCTATTTTTTTATGGCATTCAATTTGCCACTGCATTATATTCTGATTAAGAAGTTAGCACTAAGCAGTATCAGTAAAGTACACATTAAATACATTAAGACCTGGCTTACTGACAGATCTAAAAGTGGCTGTCATTGGCTAACCATTACTGAATGGATTTGTTTCTGTTACAGTTGTAGGAATCAGGAGTGTTGCTATTCAATATTTTCATTAAAGATATGGAACAAAGTTAATTGATAACTTTATGGCACAGCAGTAAATAATGGGCAGGACAGGGCAATCACACAAAGTGATTTTAATTGTGTGGTAATCTGGACACATTAAACAAAAAGGTTTTTTCATTTCCTTTTTTTTTTTTCTTTTTTTCTTTTAATATGATGAACATAGACCAAACCTATGGAATCAGGAAACAGTGTGTTGGAAAAAATGATTTTGAGATGGACCACCTCCTCCTTGGCTTGGGAAATCAGCCCAACAAGATTGCAAGCATATGGCAAAAAAAAATCCTTATGCAAGATTTACACAGTTAAAGAGGGTCAGAGTGAAATAAGAGAGGAGGAGATGTTTTGTTTCTCCAGGTTGCACTAGCAAGGGTGCTACTGGCATCCAGTATAGTTCTGGTTAGTGAAGATATTAAAAATAATATTGCAAAGTAGGAATGTACACAGAAGAAAGTGCTAGAAAGAATGCAAGGTTACAGAGAGTGTCTTTTAGTGACAAAAGTAAATTTACCAAAATTACTTGAATTGGAGTAAACATCCAATGCTTGTCTTCTGCATGGATAGGGAGAAAAATCCTGAGTAGGGCTTTAGTCTAGCAGGCAGAAGACATACAGGAACTAAGGGTTAAAAGTTAAAGCCATGCTAACTCAAATAGGAAATGAGGCAAACATTTTGAAATAAATCATAAAGAAAAATGGGTGCTTTTTCATTTTTGCAGGTTGCGATCAGCAGTCTTTTGGGAATGCGTACGTTAATTAAACACTCCTGTACTGTGGCCAAAAAGTTGTGATTGGGTGGTGTGTAAAGGATGTGGGATATTAATTTGATTCCTGTATGACTTAGTGTTCCCTCTGGCATTAAGTCTATGGTCTCATCTTTCTCCATGCATCTTTTAAATAAACACCTCTTTGTCTTTAAACTTACAGGTTGTATGTATGAAAAGGGACCTAGGCAGTTTTATGATGATACTTGCGTTGTTCCAGAGAAGTTTGACGGTATGTATGACACATCTCTCTCTCTTTTCTTGTGTGTGGAGATGAAAAAAGAAAAGATGAGGGACTTTTCTCTGTTGCTGATCAAAAAAAAGGTCAGTAATGTTCTAATTTAGGATTCCTTAACACACCACTTGCAGTGCACCCAACCAAAGCTGACCTTTGTATCTTGCAACCAAAGTCTCCTTTTCAATAGGATGTTGTTCAGATTTTGCCACTGAAGGGTTCTGTATCCAAAATTGGCACAGAGGAGCTCGGTTCCTGTACTATTGATAAGTAATGGGAGGATTCCATTGCACTAATGATCACATACCTCTTCTTGTTAGAGATTTAATGAAAGTATCTCTTATAATTAACAAAACAGAGGAGAAAGCAACAGCTCTGATTTTACTGGAGATTAAGCCTCTTTTCTTGTTGTCTGTGAAGAAATGAATAGTAGGGAGTAAGTATATCAGGCATTTTTGTTTGGTATAAGTGTTTTTTGTGCTATGTTAGGCATTGTACCTAGTGGCTTATTTCTCAATAGGATTGATAACAAACAAATCATCTATCTATTCTTACAGAATTTTTTCAAGAGGGAATCTGGGGTCAAGTAAAATAAATGGCCTGAATTATCCTCAGTTACTCCAATGTAAAATGAGTTTCCTGATGTAACTCAGTTGATTTCAGATTTATTTCATTATAGACAAAGTAGATTGACTCGGTATTTCTTGCCGATGACTCTGTTAGTCTGCAACTTTGGGAAGTAATTTGGAGATCAATTACTTAAATTTGCTAGAGTGGCTTCTTTGAGTTACTGTATGTATGTCCAGCTTTATTTATTTTAACAGGAAGGGTGAGATATCTTCTGATAAACTTGTGAACAGCTCTCTGACCATAGCTAAAGGAAAGCTGGAGAACTCTTGCTGTTTATTTTTTTTTCTGCTTTGTTTTGTTTGTTTTTCCCTGAGAATTACTTAGGTGGACTGCAAAACTATTGTGTGTCTAGCAGCATTTGTTGTGTTTACTGAAGAATGGGAGATTCTAAAGTGAAATTAATATGAAGAATTACATGTTCTTCAATCTGAAGTGTCATGTGTATTCCAGAGTTGGTAAGGAAGAGTAGGAAATAAATGGAGGAATTTAAATAATATTAGCCTTCACCTAATTCTAAGGATTGCTTGATCCAGTATTGCATTATCTCAGAATTGACACATTAACTGAAAGGGTGATTTATTTGAAAGTTTGCTTTATATGCTGGCTTTGGAATGTTTTTTTCATTTCTTTTCCATTGAGCATATCCTGTCACGTGGTTTTGTTTTGGTTTGTGTCTTGTTGCTTATTTGGTTTTTCATTTTTCCCCAAACCATTGTGTGCCTGATCTGTTTTCAATACTAGTGACAAAAATATATTTACATTTATGGAAATGGGATCAGACCCTGTTCTAGAAGAGGTTAAAATTCTTTGTGAGGAGTACTTGTGCATTGCTTTCTTGAAAAGCCTTTTTGTTTGTTGAGTTTTGTAAAGAGGAAGGAATGAAAATAGGAAAGAAATACAAATAATAATAATAAAAAAATTAAAAACAGTAAAATTAAAAATATATCTATTTGGAAATGTTTGAGTGCTTGCAAAGCACTGAGTCTTCTAGTAGCTGCGATGAGTGTTCACTGAGATAACACCTTGTCCTCGAGAAGACTGATATCATGACACAAATGTTTGTGTTTATGCTTGTAGCCTGATGACTTTTGAAGAAAATGTAGCAAGTATGTTATTATGTTTTGGTCTGTAAAGCCAAAATGGGATAAGCTCTGGACTAGCTTTGATGTTTCAGAAGTAGATTCTCAGCTGCTTGATTTGAAATCAAGGATCAACACAGATGAATAACCTGATCTTCTGTAACATTGCACTTGCTGTTGTGCATTACTCAGCTATCATTAAAAGAAAAATATTGTCCTTGAAAAAGAAAGCCTTTCAGGACTGGAGCTTCAAACTCACATAAACCAAAAAGCCTTGTGTTGATTTATTTGTTTTCCACTGCTATTGACTCAATTTTATTTCCTGATTACAAAAGGAAGTGCTCCATTTTTTAATAGTATTATTCTTATTTTCACTACTCGGAGCCATTCTGTAATGACCATCTTAATGCTGTGGTTTAGTACTAAACGGGTCATGTGTTTATTCACAGGGGCTGCAGGTCTGGTACTTTAAATGAGGAGTTCTGCCAGTTTTTCAAGGATTGTTTTCATTGTTTGCAGAAAATCAGCATCAAACCTTTCAGCTGTTGTTGTCCGCATGAGTTGTTCATATGAATATTATTTAAAAACAAGAGGACACAGTATGGATGAAGCAGGACAATTTTTCATTGGCAACTTGTGGAACAGCAGAATATTGTTGGTTTTAATAGCTTCATCTGGATTTGAAATTTTAGAAAAACTACTTCTTTTCAGGAGAATACTGATATAATATGTAGATACAAGTAAAAGTAATGTGTGCTTATATGCAAGTCCAATATGCCACAGAAAAACTCACATATCTGCAGGATTTGCATACCTATATATAAAGCACATGCTATTTAAGTCCAAGTCAAATACTTTGTCAAATTTTCCTTTAGAGAATTTGCATGCAAAAGAAGTTTCACTCAATAGTTTTGCAGCTTTTGAAGCACACATTGAATTTCCAAAACTGGGGCTTGTTCAAAGTATAGTACACAAATGCAGTTCTTCAAACATCAGAATTGCTCGCAAAAATAGTTCAAGCTCTTCCAGATAGAGGATATTACAAAACAGTTTGCAAGCAAGATTTGCATGTATCAGAAGTGAATGGGGATAGGCTTAGGGAGACTTCCATAAAGAGTGACTGAATTTAGGAACTTGTTCGCATATGAATATGTTACTGTAAGAGTGTTTACACTTAATAGCAGGAGAAAGGAGACTATTGCATTTGTGGATAGTTGGGTAGCAAGCATTCTTTTCTTCAATTTTATTGACCATAATGATTGCCTTGCCAGCTTATCCGACAAACTTAGTGATGATGCTTTTTGCGGATTGCTCAGCTAACGTTGTTATTCTATGCAGGTGATGTCAAACAGGAACCAGGCATGTATCGTGAGGGACCCACGTATCAACGGCGAGGCTCACTTCAGCTGTGGCAGTTCTTGGTAGCTCTTCTCGATGACCCATCAAACTCCCACTTTATAGCATGGACTGGCCGAGGCATGGAATTCAAGCTGATTGAGCCGGAGGAGGTGGGTTAGATGAACAGATTGTCCTGATGTCCACTACCCTGTAGAGGAAATTTAACAGTTCTTTCATAGTTAAGCTGTGTTTTCCTTCAATATTTCATTTCTTATAACTTTAAAAGGGTAATGGAAAGAACTCACAGTGAGAGTGTTGAGACAGATATATGCTTGAGCTTAGACTTAATTTTCTAGTCCCATGAACTAATGAATATATGGCAAGTACTAGAGTTTCAAAATACTCAGTATTAATTGTTGGGCCCAGAATTTTTAGAATTATTTTCCAGGAAGAGTTCTATTCTACATTCCTTTGAAAACTTGTTCCTGAATAGTTTCTTTAGTATCAAATACTCTTCAGTGTAAAGGTGTGGGAAGTTGGAACGTTTTATCTGTAGAATGAAAGGCTCCAAGTTTGAAACAGGTGACAAAGAAATTTAAGAATTTGAGGCAGTAAGGCAGTAAAAGCCCACTGAAATAATATAAAAAGCTCTTTTTTAAAGTGTATTCTTGGTTATCTGTATCATTAGATTGCTTACTGCACATTTAGATCCTACTCTTGCAAAAACTCTAGCACATGCATGGCTTCCCTGAACCATGAAGGACTCATTGGGTAGAAAAAATTGCTTGTATTCATGAACATTTGCTGAACCATGACTTAGTTCACTAGTGTGATAAACAGGAATAAATTTAACATTTTATTGCATAAAGTTTCTTCACTTGTTAACATTAAATAATCTATCCTGTGTTCTAAACAGCAGTGAAAACTGTTAGAAAATCTGGCGTGTGTGAATTTTATTGTAATACTGATGTGGATGATTTGATGAGTATTGTAAAAAAGCAATATCATTCTGGTTTACATTTTGCAGCTTGGAAGGGGATGAGCAATAGAAGAGAAAACAGTAAATTCTCATTCCGGATTCTTTCTGAGTTAGAGCTGAGTAGGAAGCTTTGGGGGTGTAAGGCAGCTTCTTCATTCTACCAGCTATTTCTGCCATTTGCCATCCATCTGCTGCCATAAGCAATCTGAAAGCTTTCTTGCATTTAAGTTTCATGATGCATCAACAGCCCTAAGGGTAGCTGGAGATTGAGACAATACTAATGCTCTTTTTCTTCCTGACATGGTCTGGCTGATGGGCAGGCTGCTACAGAGACTCATGTGCCAGCTCTGTTCTGTCCAGGCATTCTCCAATGCTACTTATATTCAACTTGGCAGATCCTGACACTGTGCATCTAAGGATTTGACCACAGATTATCCATTGCTCCAATCTCGGTATCCAACATTTTAAAGATCAGAAAATCTTATTGAAAAATTGTTCCCAGCAGATGGTGCAAAAACGTTATAGATTTTATTAGATATGGAAAGGAAAATAAAAAAACAAAGCCCTAAGAATTCCTTATTGCATAATTCCCCACAGAGATAGATGTAAGTTAGTCAGATCGTCTGCTTGTATGACTGTACAGCAGTTGCTTTGTGTTTTCGAGCAATGCTGCATCTAAGATCTGGAAAAGACAGACTACTTGAAACTTGCTTGCTCCTTTGCTCTCAGGGAGTACAAAGAAGGCTAAGCTGTTTTCGTGTGAATGCCGTGGATACAACAGAAACTGTTGATTAAAATAAGAATAGCCTGTGGGAAGTTGCACACTTCTTTGGTTGCCAAGTGTAAATTGAAGGGAAGTCAAAGAGCTTGTTGATTCAGCTGTGGCAGGTTAGGATGTCAGTGGCATGACCTTTGTATCTCATCCCTTTCTTCAGATTTATGTCCCTGTAGAAAGGGTGATGACAGAAATGAGTATGTATCAGCTTTTGGGGCATGATAGTTCATTCAGAAAGCATGTGACTGTAAACTGTGGAGGTTTAGAACTGGCGCAGGGCCATTTCTGCTGCCTGGTCATAGACACAGTAACCTTCAGCAGGAAGATGAAGTGGAAGGCTAGAACCCCAACTCAGTTCCTCAAAGCATGATTTGATATATGCTCTGCAGATGAAGGACAGGAGAACTGACTTACAAAAACTACTTCTGTTCTTGCTTGCCTTTTCACATGTGTTAAAATAACACACAATATAACATGTTCTTGATGACTGTTTTGTTCTATACGCTTTGCTGTATTATGCAAACTTGATAGCACGGTGATTTTTAGGACTGTGATTAATGCAGGAAAAAACTTGGCAGAAATGAAGAAAGATAGATGTAGGCATGTGTTAAAAAGATGAATAGGCAAATCATGGTTGCATATCTAAACCAAATCTACAGCTGGTATAAATTGACATGATTTGGAGGTCTGTTTTAATACGGCTATAACTTGGCTAAAGTTAGCAAAGCCTTGATAATTTACATAAGCCTGAAAGTCTTAACTGTAGAAAGAAAATAGTGCTTTAAAAAGAAATTTTAAATAATTACTGTCCAGATGGAGGTCAAAGTCATTGGGTTTTACTGTTGTTATTTAGTTCCCTTCAGTTCTCAATGGTGGATGTTGTCTATGCTTTGCATTAAAAGACTCCAGACACCTATGGGAAAGTGTCGTAGAGCTGTCTGCAGAGAAGACACATGATTACTCTTTCCTTCTTCCAGAGCTGTATGCATATGCACCTCACTAACATTTTTATAGAATGTGTTTTAAAGAGTTCATCACCACTTTTTTCCCTCCTCTATTGACATGGGTAGTCATTTGCACAGACAGTAATTGAAATGTTGCCAACGACCAGTTATAATTTTGGGTGGGGAAGAAGCTGTTAAGCTCTTTAACAAAAAGTCTCTTTCTTCAGAACTACCTCTGGCAATAAAACAAGAAGAATAAAGGGAAGTAGAAATCATAGGAGCAGAAGCCGTATCATTCTCTGGAATGGTTCACAAGTTGCTAGTGACTACTTTTTGATACTATTTTTAAGGGAAATTACACAACTACAATTGAGCAATTTCTGTCTGGTTCATCATTCTGCCACCTCATTCCTCCAAGTGATTATCCTGCCTCCCTTTACTTTTTTTAATTTTTTTTTTTTTTTTTTTATGTAGTGGTATTTAGGACTCACTTCTGTCTCCCATCTTCTAATGATCTCAGCATTGACATTATTCCAACTTATGGCCTGTATTAGTTCATGAACTAAGCTTGTATATGTGTTTTTAATATAATTTATTAGCTTTCTGACAGAAAACACAAAAAAATAGTGCAATTATTCCTATAACAAACTAAAGAAGAGCTTTCATTTTTCTTTAAATCTTTCCAGTGAAGCTTGATAAATATTTTTTGTTTATCATATCTTTATATGACTATTTTTTCATTGTTTTTCTTTAAAAAACAAAACAAAGCAATAACAACAATAAAAACCAGCCCACCACTAGATTTGCAGATCAGTAAGTCTATTCCAAGTTTAATGGATGACGGTGAGTCCAATTAAAAATTGTGTTAGTACATGGGAAATTCAGGTCACAGCAGCCTCTTCTCTTTTATTTATGCATTCCACCTGCAGGGTTCCCCCCTCAATCCCCCAAGTAAAATATCTGATGATAAGATCTGCTTGTGAAATGCATTTAACAAATCAATGCTAATCCATTTTTGTGGCAGGTGGCACGTCGCTGGGGGATTCAGAAAAATAGGCCAGCTATGAACTATGATAAACTTAGCCGATCACTTCGCTATTATTATGAAAAAGGAATCATGCAAAAGGTGAGCAGCTAATTCTGTATTAAATTTCACTGAAATGTTGAATATTAATCCACAAGTCAGTTTACAAGGAGTACTTATAACTACATTGCATAGGTTTTTCATCTCTTTAGACAAACCCTAGTCTCTTTTTTTTACCTTCTACATCCAGTATATGCATCAAGGTATTTTTTTCTGTGTAAAAAGTGTATGTAGTTTTAGTTTACGCAATGCACATAAGAATTAAAGGGAAAGAGGTAGCACTGAAAAATATCCAAAGAAGCTTCCTGGAACCTGGGAAAGGCAAATAGTAGAGTACAATAAGAATAATATTTTGTAGATCTAAATTAACTGACCATTGCTTAGATACTTCTATAACTGCAAGTTAAGGGAGAAAAATGATACCTATTAAAATCCTAAATATTTTACCAATTTTTGTAACAATAGTTTTGTAATAATACTATTTTTAAGTGAAATTCAGTATTTTATAATATACTGAACTATGAGAAATATTTAACGAAAAATTATGTATAACAGCCTGGTCTTGCTGACAATATTCAACCTGTTATTTTCCAGTGGTTTGCTGATTTCTGTGTATATTTTTAAATCTTGCTATGTAGAGTTATGTAGCTTGACAACAAGAGAGACCTCCTACTTCTAGAAAATTATTAGATATGGTCAAAGGTCAGAATGAACATCTTGTGTTATATATTTGTTCCATATCTTTGCACATTCATTTTGTGTTCTGTGATGACTAACATGTTTAAACCTTCCATTGGCCAGCTACATGAGTGAAAACAATGCCCTCAGCCCAAGTTGCTGGGTAGCTTTTCCAGTAGGACTTTTGAAGTCTGCGTTTGGAGTTATCTATTACAGGTTCTCTTGCTTTTACTCTGGGATTATTGCAGTGATCACTCTCTAGGGGTCAGCTTGTACAACCTGTGCTTATGGTACTTCAACAACACTGCCTTATCCAATCATTTACCTGTGCTCTTAGTTTCTGTGAAGTTGACTGGAAGCTAGGTCCAGTCAGGGAAAAACAGAAATGCTTGGATTTTCTGGGTACTGCTGCAGACAGAGGTGTTCCTCATTGCAGTTTTGGCTGCATGGACAATTCAAAGGCAGCCCAGAATCAAGAATATGTGGCGAAGAGGGTACAAAAAGTCGAAAAGATGAGGAGGAAGATAATATGGACATATCTATGTAACATGTTCTTCTGACAACTAATTTGCTAACTCTTTAATTACTCCTTTATTATCTATATGACTGTATTTAACACACATTTTAAAAACTAATTTGATTGCTTTTTTCCTAACATAGCAATGTTTGAAACATTCCCTTGGATCATCTTATCTGGCAACTTAGTTTACGCTAAAATTAATGGGGGTTATAAATTCATAGCAAGTTGCTTTACTGCAAAATGTGCACGTACATTTTTCCCTTTTGTTTTAAGTTAAGCACTGGTAATAGGCTGTGTAAATATCCTGTTTCTGAGTGCAGACTTCAGTCTGTAAAATTTCCTGATGTTAATTTGCTGGAAAAAAAAAATATTCTCCTGAGATATAGTCTTTACCAAAACATTACATTTGTAGAAAAGATAAGATGAAAATTTAAGGAGATGCTACAGACTGTTTTGCACCCATAAGAATACAGTTGAGTTTGCTATACCTTTCCATCTTCGTGCATTCATTTTCAATGCCTTGCTGGATGATGTTGCAGGATGCAATGATCTTTCTGATTTTTATTTTCAAATAATTTTAGTTGATGAGAATGCAATATTGCTCATATTTTTTACTGTAATTCTTTAAATATGGCACTTGAGGAAGCACTATTGAGTAGCTTTTTTTCATTTTAGATTTTAGTAAAGCAGAAATTCTGTTTTGTTTTGTTTTAATATTATTCTTTAGCTTTTAAGTGGACAAAGGACAGACATTTAGTAGTATTTCTGAATAAGGGAAAACTGGGATTGTTGGACAAATTGCCACTCCATAAGCAAATCTAAATGTCCCAGGCTTTGCATGAGCAATTGCTAAGTACATATTAGCTTACGTATTTGCTTACGCTGTCCCTGTACAATCAGCATGCACTATAACTAAGTGCTTTTATACTTAAGTATGAATCAATCTGTGTAAAGTGAAATTCAGATCTCTATCATGCAATGTGATTCTTTTTTCCACTTCACACACAGTGTTGGACTTAGTCATTTTATTTTGCCTCTGTAGTGACAGTTTGTTTACATTTTCCTATACTAACAGCTCCATTTGTGGCTAAGTATAAGAAACAACCACAAACGAAGTTTGAAAGTAAAATAGCTAGTATATCTTTCAAAAGGATATCACGTGTCTCAAAATCAAGACAGTTCTTCATAGTCTGCTTCTGCAGATCCCTAGTCTTTATTGTCGTCCTTACCCATTCTGCTGCCTCGTTATTAACTGTGTAATGAAGATGAGTTCTTCAGAAATCTGTTGAATGTGGAGTTGCAAAAACATCAACACTTATACTACCTTTTTTTGTTATCCTAAGGTTGCTGGAGAAAGATACGTCTACAAGTTTGTTTGTGACCCTGAAGCGCTTTTCTCCATGGCCTTTCCAGACAACCAGCGCCCCTTACTGAAGACTGACATGGAGCGCCACATCAATGAGGAGGACACTGTTCCCCTGTCCCATTTTGATGAGAGCATGGTCTACATGCAAGATAGTGGCTGCTGCAACACCCACCCATATAATGAAGGCTATGTCTACTAACAACAGTGACAGTAAAGGGGGTGTTTTCACCCTCTCTTAGGCTTCTCCTCTTTCACAAGAGCCAGAGGAAAGCTGAATCGACTTCAGTTTGTTTTTTAAATAGTACACTAAAAGGGGCTTTTCCTGTTGCATTATTCCTATGGTCTGCCATGGACAGCGCACTTTATTTGAAAGGGGAGGGTTGGAAACTAAACATTATTGTGTGTAACAGGAGGAAAAGGGTGGGTTTGCTTTTTATTAAGTTTGGGAAGGGAACATACAGGTTTTAAGTACAAAAAAGCTATATCATGTCTGTTTTGTTTCATATCAACATAAGATATTGTACATTTTCTCTGGGTATCCATAGTACAGTTAATTCTCATTGTGCAAAATAACCACTTGCTGATAATATCAACACAACATGCCTAGGGCAGTTGTTTCTTGCCATTCTTAATTGTCTTTCTGCAGATATAAAAGAGAAGCAAAGCGTATCCTGCAGCATTTAATTTAGAAGTTTGAAGTGCTGGACCTTGCAGCTTGCCTCCAAAAGCAAAAAATATCTCTAGAGTTTTACTTTGTTTGTATGCTAGTTTGTAGGGCCTCAAAAAAAAAAAAAAAAAGAAAGAAAGAAGAAAAAAAGAAAAATCCCACTTATTTGCAGAGTAGCCTTAAGAACAAGGACAAAGTCACAAAATCCCTGACTTCAGACTGCAAGCTGTCTGTAACTGGAGTCACATTACTATACATATATGGCCAGTGTTATCACTTGGACATTCCAAGATCCATTTGAGAGTAGTAATTACATGTGATAGGCTGTCTGATGATCATGTCAGCATTAAATACGGGATCATGATCAGGACGGAGAAAACATTTCATATCCTTCCATTTCCTTTGGTACATAAATAAGTTATTTAATCAATAGGAATTAACTGTACTAAGTCACATATCTAATTATGCTGTTTAGACACAGCAAGCACTCCTTGAGAAAAATATCCAATACACTAAATAGGTACTTTAGTAATTTTTAGACATGGTATCCATTAATATGCATTTAAACCTTTTACTGCTGTGTTATGTTGATAACATATATAAATACTAGATAATGCTAATGCTTCTGCTGCTGTCTTTTTCTGTAATATTCTCTTTAATGCTGAATTTACTATGACCATTTATAAGCAATGCTGTAACGACAGGTAGCATTTCAGGACAAAATAGATGACTTGAACCATTTATTGCTTAGAAAATAGCTTACGCCATAGCTGTGCTATAAGCAGCTTTTATGCGCATTCACAAATGACTAGTAAGCTTCAGCTTGCTGAGGAAAGTTCTGCAGAACCTTTTGTGATATTTGGTGGAACGGAGAGTAGATGAACTGTCAATACCATGAAGTCGCTGTATGACATTGTAGTGCTGGCACTGATGTTACCAATCAACTTGTTTTGGACACTAAATGTAAATGTGATCAGATATGCTCGGAAGACAATTTAAATTTTGAGTTCTTTTTTTTCCCATTATTAAGGTTTTTAAATTGGGTTTTTTGGTTGTTTTTATTTTGTTTGTTTGTTTGTTTTGTTTTGTTTTGTTTTTTTGTGAGGGGTAATCTTAAACACAAGCCACACACAATATTCTGTATGTAAAATGAAAAAAAAAAAAAAAAAAAAAAGAGAAAATTCTAAAGATTTATGAGCACCTTTTCTGAAGTGTAATATAGTTTGAGGAAAGGGAGAGCTGGTAAGATCGGGATTTCTTTCTTTGCCCAGTGAAATTTAAACAAGTGTTATATGGAGTATATCATTTTCCTATGTTTTCAAGAAGTGAGAGGAAAATGAACATATAACCATCAAACAGTAATTTTCATCACAATGGATGGGTTTCAAAGATAGTCCTTGTTTGTGAGTAGATTTTCCATCCTGTGTCAGTTAAGACATCAGTTAAGCTATGAATATTTTAATAAGCAGTTAATCAAAAGTAAAGAAGTAGTGATTACTAGAAACCACAGGTGCATAAAAAACATTTCAGCAGGTATTTAATTTAGTCAGATCCAGAAGGCAACATATTTTATGGGAGTGTGTATATGCCTTATTATGTCACCTAATTCCGTCACCTGTAATGGCACTTAAATTTGCAGAGATCAACCCAGAATCACAAGTCTCAAATTGCAGAATTAGCAAGAAGGAAAAAGAAAAGGTTAAGTAAGATTGTTTAAAAAAAAAATATGCAGTTTCTATTGAAATAAGGTTCAAATGAAACATGCTTTGGTGAAAAGTCCATGGATTTGTTTTGGTCCTTTAATGTCAGCATGAAGCGCCTCCTGCCTGTGGCAGGATGTGGGTGTGGGAGAGGGATTGGGCAAAAAAGGAAAAAGAGATTAAAAAAAAAAGAAAAAAATGCATAAAATGTGTAGTATTTAAGAAGAAATATATATATGTATGTATCTGTATACGGTAGTGACTCACTGAAAAAACAAGCGATCAGACCAACATTACCATGATCTCTCAGCAGAAGATGAAAAAGTCTTTCACTGAACTGATTAACTCTTTTTAAAATGTACCTAAGAATTTTATTTAAAGTCTGTTTCTATTCCACTTTTTTGTTTCTTTGAGTTTGTTTTAGGTTGTTTTTTTTTGTTTGTTTGTTTGTTTATTTGTTTGGGGTTTTCAGGTAGAATAATAAATCTGGCAGCTGATTCCTGCAAGATTGTTGTGTATTGGATTCCTAAACATTTGGACTGGAGAGGCCCTTGCAGTACTGTTCTTTTTTTGGAAGAGGAGATGACGATGGTCTGTTCCCAGTGCCTAGGTTGGCATCTTGCAAAATGTAGCAAAACAAAACAAACAAAAAAAAATCACAACAAAACAAAACAAAAAGTAAGAAAGGAAGAGGGAAAAATGAGGAATACATGCAATTCACTAGTAGTTATATATGAGTCATAGTATTTAGGTTGACAGAGCATTGTATTTTACTGACGAAAGAAAGAAGGATGGACTACATAAATGTAGAGGATTGATTCCAACTGAGAACTCACACACATTTTCACAGCACTTTAATATCCTACTGAATTTGTGTGTATTTGGGGTGCTGGGCTTCTGATTGTTTGGGATTTTTTGTTTTCAGTTGTATCATAGCAGGAGGAAAAACACAGGCTTCAGCTGTAGGTTTTCAAACATTCTTTCTTTGCTGTGGCAGTTCAGCTACACTGGTAGCTGAAGAGGTGCAGTTGTTAGATAAGGATGTCACAGAGTCCCTCAGAATCCATTTAAAGGAGCTAATATTGCAGGTTTAGGGCAATGCACAAATTTTGCCTTAGGGATATGGCTTTCCATGCTAGAGAACCAAAGCCTTTTCTTTCCAAGGTCACAGTGTAACTCCTATACATCAACTGTGGTGCAATTTTTAACAGTGCATTCTCTGAAAGCATGAAGTTCACATGCTGATCAGACCATATCTGCCTGCTTTATTTTAGAGTTGGCTGTTGTGGTAATGATGACAGATGAGAGTATAGGAACATTTTCTCACATATTTCCCCATGAAGAGCCCTTTCCTCAGGACCCTTTCTGCTTTGAGATTCTGAGATACCAGGGACAGTTTCCCATGGGTTAGTACTTCAGAGTTGTATGGACATCAGATTGGAGTGTACTGCAAATTCATCTTCTTGGAACAATATCATCTGGTAAACATTTTTTGTCTTTTTTAATATAAAAAAAAAAGTCTTTATTTTTCTTGTTATTAATAGGAAATAGATCCATGTGTGCAAAGAGTAATATGATGAAATCGTTGAGTTGTTAATAGCTATACTTTTTCCTCTGGAGATTATTAGTTTCAGATTATATATTACAGATAATAGCACACATGAATGACCCTATTCAGTCTTCAATTAATGGCTCTGAGGGCTTTTCCAAATAATCTACTTCAAAAATGTTTGGGGAGTCTTAATTAATTTAGTATTTTACGTTCTTAAGAATCATCACTCTGAAATACCCCACTTGAATCTAGCTGTAAGAGTCTAGGAGATTTATATATATATTTTTTTTTATTTTGTTTTAACCTGAGGCAGAGTAGCTTGGAAGGAAGGTAGCAGCTGCAAGCAGGTGCCTGTACCTCAGAAATTCCATTTCAAAGTCCCCTGCGTTTTGCTGAGATATCAAGCTGGGAACTGGAGCATGTGTGATAGATGGCTGCACTGTCTTCCTTGTTCTGTTGCTTTTGCTACAGGAGTGATAATTTCTGGCAGGGTGGAGGGGGCGGAATGGAAAGATAAGGTCAGTAGCATTTTAAAACTACAAGATTACCCAGAGAATATCTATTAGATCCCTAAGAATCGTAAGTGTATCTGCAAGAGGCTGAAAGCCACCCAGCTTTCATGACCATATAGGTAGCATAGGTTCAGGAAACTTCATGTCTTACTTCAGGAGGTTGAAATACTGGATTCCCATTGAATACAAATTGAATTTATGTGGGAAGGAAATATTTATGCCATCTTGTGTAATAGTCTGAAAATTCCCATGAAGAATCTCATTGACATTTTCCCGAAGAACTATTTTTATGTGTGAAAATCATACCCAAAACATCACCAAAAGAAGGTATAGATAAGCATACTGTTCTCCACGACTGTAGCATTATATATCCTTGAAATGTATAATGCCTTTATATTGTCACTGTATTATCTGTACTGCAGACTGTCATTGAACTGACCTCAACAAAACACAGCCTACACTGAAGTGGGTTGTTTTTGATGTTGGTTTTTTGGTTTTTTTTTGTTTTTTTTTTAATGAACGTCCTGATGTTAATAGACATTACAGGAAGGTATCTCTGAGGCAAGGTCACAATCAGGTGTTTAGACCTGATGAAATACAATTCTCTTTTTGCTTTTGCAAAGCTCTCCGGACATTTCTGCCCATGTCCATGCTTTTTGCTTGCAGAGTAGTAAGGTTACGACAACTGTTGATATTTTTATTCTTTTTATTTTTGCTGGTTTGCTAGTAGCTTGGTTCATTTTGTTTCAAAACTGCCTTTATGTGTCTCTTTCCTTACTCCAGATAACCAGGGATCCAAAATAATGTTTGCTGTTTGATCTGCAGTGTAGGCTGTGCCAGTTCATTGCTGGAAGAGCCCCAAAAAACAATGAGTAGAGGTGATTTCACCAATTTCTTCTCTGCTCTATTCTGTGATATGACACAGCTGGTCCATTTGAAGATATTTTAAAACAATTCTTCACCCAAAGGAATGCCATGAATTTGTATCAGGAGAGTCAGGCTGGGTTTTAGGAGAAGGTCCTTCACCTGGTGGTGTTCAAGCACTGGAACAGGCTCCCCAGGCTTAAAGCCCCAAATTGCTGGAGTTCAAGAAGTGTTTGGGCAGTACTCTCTGAAATAAGGTTTGAATTTTGGGTGATCCTTCGTGGAGGCAGGAACTTGATGATCCTTGTACACCTTTTCCAGCTGAAGATATTCTAGGATACTAGGATTTTAGTGAACACTGTTTTTGCTAGTACAGTGGCAATTTATAGAAACTCAGGTATGGGAGTTGAAGTTGTATGTTTTAGAGACACCATCAAGAGAGGCTTTGGTGGCTTTCAGACAGTTTTCCCTGGGGTGTATAGACATAAGGTTACACAACCCAATAGAGGCAGAAGGATGTGGTTTTGTAGAGGTACCAGCTCCTCAGAGCTTGAGACGTTTGCTCAAAAACACACAGGCAAGGCTGCTGCCTGGTAGACTGCAGTGAACATGCCCTGAGAGACCTGATGAGGTCTACATGTCGGTAGAAGAGCAGAGGAGCATGATCCCAGTGTGCCCTGGGGAGGCACAGAAATGGGAGAAATCTAGCCCTACCAAATAGCTAAGCTGAAGCTGATTGGTACGGGAAGGAGACTGTATGACCAATACAATAAATCACAGAGATAACTGTTGGACAGACAAGCTGCAGGAGGATCATAAGAAATGATGGAAAGTAATAAACTCTGTAAACAGCAATGACTTTTAAGACCCCAGTGCTTTTGGGAGCGCTTCAGGAAAAGGAAGAGAAAGTAAAATACAGAAAGGGACAATAATATTAGATGAGAACAACAGGAGTCAAATCATGAGCTGCATTAGGGGACCTGGAAGA